CCCTGTTCCAGAGTGATGGGTGCATCAGGGTAAGAAGAGAGGCAGGTGAAGTGATGACATCATGCCTAGTGTCTAATCACCAATGCAAGATCTTGGTGAAAAATTAACGCAACACTGGATGGAAATAGATCTTGTGACATTGCAGAAGCTTATCCAAACAATGATACAGTGAATGCATGATGTGATCAAAGCTAAAGGCGTTCCAACGAAATATTAGTGTGTGACCTTTTTCTTTTTTTGTGGCGACTTTTTTTTGGCCAGGCAGTGTAAGATGGAGCTAGGTTGTTGAGAGCTTTGTATGAGGGTGTTGCTTTGGTCTGTTGTGGTAAAGTTGAGCTGAAAAGCAAAGTTCTTCATTTACTTAGTCTCTTTTCCAGTTCTCACCTATGAAGTACAGATCCTGACCAACAGAGTAAGATCCTTGATACATGCGCCTGAAATGAGCTTTCTCTAGGAGTTGCCAGGCTCAAACTTTAGAGGTCAGAAGAGCTTCAGCTCACGTAAAGACTCCACTCCTCCATATTGAAAGAGTTCAGCTGAGATGGTTCAGGCATCTGATAAGGTCGCCTCCTGGACGCACTTCTGGAGGTTTTCTGTGCACTTCCATCTCAGAGGAGGCTATGAGGTGGACCCAGAACTTGCTGGAGGGTTTATATATGCTTTCTGGCCTGGGAACAGTTGTGGATTTAACCAGAAGGAGCTGGAGAATCTGTTGGGAGAGATTCCCTCCTGGACCTGTTCCGATCATGACCTAACCACAAATACATAATTGAAATGGATGGATATAAAGCATGACGATTATTTCAGAGTACAGCAAATCTTTCCATTAATATTCAATAATTGAAACAACTGATATTCTACTGTTGTTCAAGCAGATATAAAATTGATTGAAAATCCCTCACAAACGTTTGACAACGTGTTGGACGTGTGAGATCAATCTGAAGGGGAACGTATGTGAGAAATGGAGTCACGAGGGTTTGTTTCAAAGACTTTGTGACGTAAAGGGGACTTTTCCTCGTGGTCTGCTGGGTGTGTCCATTTTCCTGACACTAAAGTGATGGAGACAGAGGTCAGGGTTGATGACCGGAGCCATGCTATGACACGTCAGGAGTTCACGGCTTGCGGCTGATAAAAATGACTGTAAACAAAGACCAGCGTGTGTCTTACTGTTCTGTCCTTTTTTGGGAAGAAGCCAGTCATTGTGGTCTTTTCTGTGCAAAAAAAAAAAAAAAAGTTCCCATCTCTTTCCTCAGACTTTTTGAACATCTTCTTCCGTTGACCAGAGCGACACCACTTTGCTGTATTATTGGATGCATATTTGGCTGTATGCCTCACACACAGGAAGAGGATCTGGCCTTTCAAAGCTCCTGTGTTTGTGTGTATCACAGCGTGAGTGAATCCCTGCATGCAGCGGCCAGAAATAGTCTGTACGGAAATTAGTGTTCCTTTCCCAGTGGTGCTGGGAGCTGTCTCCTTCACAATACAGGGACTGTCCTGCTTCCTTCAGCCCAGAGGGACCAAGGGTGTGTGTGTGTCTCTGTCTGTGTGTGTGTGTGTGTGTGACACGAGACCTATCTCTGCTGTTCTTTAGTTCTAGCATCATCAGCAAACAGCAAATGATCCATGAAACAGATACAGTATATATTCAAGGTTCTTTATTGTCATTTTCATTACATGTGGTACATGAGGTGGAATAAAAATTGTGTACACAGGGTCCCAGTTACCTCCAACAATAGCAAAAAAATATAAAGTGTAAAAAGAAAACAGTAAATAAGGATCTAAGATATAAACTAAGATATACGCTAAACGAACGCCATAGGGTATGCTAAAAGATCTAAGATATATGCCAGTCACTAATAGTGCAAAACAATACACGGATCAACAGCAGCACGATTCTCAGAGGTTCTGTTCAGCTATAATTTATACACTTAATACGAGCAGAGTCGCGCTCCGAGCCCCAAAACCACCATAAACTAAACCAACATGGACTGAGATTTATTCAAAGCATGCAGAAAAAATACAGAAACAAGGCGCCAAAAGTGAAAAAGAAATAAACCTACCCCACATACTCTGAGGAAGATGATCTTAATAGTGTAACGGTGCGTCCAAACCTTTCGCACCATTGATCCATTTTCTTCCTTCCTTTGTTTGGACCATAACTTTTTCCTTAATTTTGGTGCTATTTCAACTATTCATATATCAAAATGTTCATGTCATTCAGTACTTTCCTGCTCTGACTTCTGGTATTTGTGCAGTTTTGACTTTTTAAAATATTTAGCTTTTTCAGGAAGGTTTCGCTCACTGAAAGTGAATGGAGCTCTTCACATCCTTTTAAAACCTTTTACTGCTCGTTTTCCTTTTCAGCTTCTCTCTGCTCATTTCACCTTTCTTCAGCTACTTGCAGCTTCTCTCTGCTCATTTCACCTTTCTTCAGCTACTTGCAGCTTCTTTCTGCTCATTCCAGCTTTATTCAGCTGTTTTTCTTTTCTTTTCAGCTATTTTTTCGGCTATCGTCTTTACTGACTTCCACCTTTTGTGATTTTTTTTCTAATAATTTCCACATTGTATGTTCCTTTCAGTCTCTGTCTGCAAAATAGCCTTTTTTAAGCTTTAACAGTTCTACCTTTTGAGCTAAATTCAGCCTTTTTTTTGTGCTTGTTTCTGTTTAATTTTAGCAATTTTTTTTTGTAATCTAATCCACCTCTCTTTGCCTATTTCAGCTTACTCTGCTCATTTCTGCTACATCTCTGCTCGGTGCAGTTTTTTATGCACCTTTCTGTCATTTTTCTGCTGCTTTCCGCTTTTATTTTCCTGTTAGCAGTAAATGTCAGCTGTTCAAACTCAACTCACATTCAGTTTGGTGATGGTTTCAGCTGGTTTCAGCAGAAATCATTCAGCAACAAGCGTTGACTCGGCATTTTCACAGGGAATGACATTTCAGAGAGTCAGAGTCAGAGTCAGAGTTTCTTTATTGTCATTCGCACCTCATGTGGTACATGTGGTGGAGCGAAATTATGTACACAGGGTCCCAGTTACATCCAACAATAAAATGTATAAGAAAAACAGTAATAACATCTAAGATATGAACTAAGAGAAACATCAACTAAATATACACTAAGCACTCATAACATAAAACATTGAACATCAGCACAAACATGAACATGAGTCTGTGAGCAGATGTGCACGCATGAACACATCAACATTGAAACAGATCAGCAGCAACATGAAACAGATCAGCAGCAACATGATATGGTTTTTCACAGTGATTATTCTAGTTAGAGATTCATGAGTCTAACAGCCTCAGGGTAGAAGCTGTTCCTCAGTCTAGTGGTTCTACACTTAATGCTCCTCAACCTCCTTCCTGAGGGGAGTGGGGCAAAAAGTGTGTGTGCTGGGTGGGTGGGGTCCTTCATGATGCAGGTGGCCCTCTTCCTGCATCTGGAGGTGTAGATGTCTGTGATGGTGGGGAGACTGATTCCAACAGATTTCTGTGCAGCCTTCACCACTCTCTGCAAAGCTTTTCTTTCTGCAGCTGTGCAGCCTTCACCACTCTCTGCAAAGCTTTTCTTTCTGCAGCTGTGCAGCCTCCATGCCACACATTGATGCTGGAGCACAGGATGCTCTCCACTGCACACCTGTAGAAGGAGGTGAGGACTGAGCTTCCCAAACCAGCTCGCCTCAGCCGTCTGAGGAAGTAGAGTCTCTGATGAGCTTTCTTGATCAGGCTGGTGGTGTTGTTGCTCCAGCTGAGGTTGTCATTCATGTGTACACCCAAGTACTTGTAGCTGGAGACCACTTCCACCGCAGATCCTCTTATGTTCAGGGGCGTGTAGGTGTTTTTGTTCCTTCTGAAGTCCACAATCATCTCCTTTGTCTTCTTCACATTGATGTGAAGGTTATTCTCTCTGCACCAGCTCTCCAGGTGTTCCACCTCTTGCCTGTAGCTGGACTCATCATTGTTTGTGATGCATCCCACCACCACTGTATCATCTGCAAACTTTACAATGTGACAGCCTGGATGGGTAGCTGCACAATCATATGTGAGCAGAGTAAACAGAAGGGGGCTCAACACACATCCCTGAGGAGAGCCAGTGCTGAGGGTTATGGTGGAGGAGGAGAGGTTGTGGATCCTCACTAACTGTGGTCTGTTTGTTAAAAAGTCTAGTACCCAGTTGCAGATGGAGGGGCTTAGTCCTAGTGTGGATAGTTTGTCCATCAGGGTTTGGGGGATCATGGTGTTGAAGGCGGATGTGAAGTCCACAAAGAGCATACGGACGTAAGAGTTTTTCTGCTCCAGGTGGTTGAGTGCAGTGTGGACCACAGAGGAGATTGCATCCTCTGTTGATCGGTTCTCACGGTATGCGTACTGATGAGGGTCCTCGTTGATGTTGATGGTTGTTTTGATGTGAGTCATGACCAGTTTTTCGAAGCATTTAGCGACTATTGGGGTGAGGGCCACTGGCCGATAGTCATTCAGACCAGTCACTGTAGAGCTTTTTGGGACTGGGATGATGGTGGCAGTCTTCAGGCAGGTGGGAACTGTCTCCAGGGTAAGTGAGGTGTTAAAGATGTCTGCCAGCACCTCACAGAGCTGATCAGCACATTCCTTCAACACTTTTCCGGGGATGTTGTCTGGGCCAGTTGCTTTGTGCGGATTAATCCTCCTGAAGGTACTCCTTACTTCTGCTGAGGTCACGCTGAGATGCTCTTCATCCGGTGGCGAGGTGAGTCTGGTGCTGGGTGGTCTGTTCGGGTCTTCAAAGCGTGCATAGAACTTGTTGAGGGCATCAGGCAGAGATGGGTCTTTGGGACATTGTTCGCTCCTGCCTTTATAATCTGTTATGCACTTAATGCCCCTCCACATTTCTCCAGTTGAAGAATGTTTTGCTGTTTCTATAAATATGAAATGTTTATGAGCAGCGCTTGTTCAAACCCTAAACTAAAGTGTTGTGATTCTCTGCTGTAAAACCCGCTGATGGTCCGTTTCGATTGTGTTTCAGAACTCCTCGGTTCTACAAAGAAAGTGAACGTCAACTTCCAGGATACAGACGGGTGAGTTACCATCTCCTTATGTCCAGCGCTTAATTCATAAAGCAAACGATGCCAGAGCACAGCGAGCGATGTGAGACCAACCCTGATACCAGAACACACACCACAACGCTTTCTTTATCATTTACTTTTAAATGCTTTATGTGTAATTTATATGTGTATTAAGTGCAGGATCATTTATTTCCTTACTAGTTGTTTAGTTAGTATATCCCACACCGCGGTCAGCTGCGCCTCCTCGTCCTCCTCCCTGCTCCGCACCTTGCTCCATGTCTCAGTAGCAGTCCTGTGTGCTTTAGACGTGTAGTGGTTCTTGTTTAGACAGCATGGATTACAGCCTGTCCCAAAGTGTCTTCTTTAGCTTGTTCAAGTACAATAGTTTTTTGCTGCTAAGTGACTCTTGCTCGGAGCATGCTCAGATATTTTTTATGGAGTGCTCATTGCTGCGTTGATGTCAGAGGCAGATGAAGTTGTTAAACACAAGACCCATTTTTAGCCATCAAAGTAATCTAGTTGAAAAACCCAACATCGTTCAGTCAGGTCATCTGGACGGTTTCTTTTTTTGTTGAGACGTTTCGTCCTTCATCCAAAGGACTTCATCAATCCGAGGAGCCACAAACAAACTCAGCTCCACAAGCTGCACACTTCCATAGTGGACCAACCAGTCTGCTGATGATAAGCAACTTAACAAACAAAAAAAGAAAGAAAGAACCCGTCCACATGACCTGATTGAACTTTGTTGCACTCTTTAGCCAGTTTCACTCCACCAGTCTTCTCTCGTCCTAAAGTCCTGACTGCCTCGCTTGTAGAGCAACCCAGACCTGACTTTACCATTACAAGCCCTGCATAGTAGGTCTGCTTGTCCTTGAACTGGGCAGCTGTCCAAGTTGTTGGGCATCCCTCACTTGATGGTTCTGAGCCCAACTCTCCTCCTCTGAATTCACCTCCTCTTCGTCGTTGTCCTCCTCCACATGTGAAACTCCCCAGGCGCCTCCTCAGGCTGTCATGGTGGCTGGCTGTGGGCTCCTGCCCGGGTACAACAGCCTGGTTAGCTCGGCACTCACCTCCACCACTTGCACCTGCTCCAGTATCTCCATACCACTGTCTTCATGTGCTTCAGTTTAGTTGTGCAATGAGACTTTTTTTTAATGAAAGTAAACTGGACTGTCTTTTCCACATTTTGATTGCTGTTGTTTTGATATGGGACATGTCATGATTACCCATCAAACATTTCTCTCATTGTATTTTTTAATAAATAATCAATATTGTATTAATTACCCGCTTAAACTATAAAACTGATTTGCAAATTAGTTGTGCTGTTTAATTATGTTTTTGTGTTTTTAATTAAATTGCCCATGACTGTAGTTTTAGGGGCGGAGATTTTTTTTTAAGGGTAGAAGCAGAAACACTTACTTGAAGGGGCAGCTCGTCTGTGATATCAGGAAACTCGTTCGTGGCTGTTATGTTTAAAATGAGTGTTTATGTAATTATTTTCAGATTAAATATCCAATATAGGTTCCAAGCAGTTACCGAAACGCACCCTGTCAAAATAAGAGCGTTCCCGGATCTTGTTCCGGCAGGATCCGGCTCAAACTAAGTCCTTGTTATGTCCTCTCATCTTCTGCACTTCTTTATGTTTACTCTACCCCTTTTTAAAACACTTTATCAAATAGTGTTTTTACTGTATGTACGAGAAATGTAACTGTATTAATGATAAGAGTTTATGTTCAGTGTTCTAGATGAATATTTTCTATTCAGACAGCAGGCGGAGGAAAAAGCAGAATCTGATTATTTGATTCTATCAGTGTTTTGACATGTTTAGTCTCTTATCGGTTTCATCTCTGTGCCATAGCAGACGTTCTGTTTGATGACGTGCAGTCGTTGAAATCAAAAGAAACCAACCATTATTACAGGAAATCCTGGATTTTACTGCCTGGACTTTCTGCTCACTCACTGAAACGTGTGCAGCGTACGTGTTCATGTGAGGTCAGCACATGTTTTGCTTCTATTTTTCTGAGATTCCTGCCGGACTTGGTTCACCGCTGCACCAGTGATGAAGCTTTACATGGTTCACTGATGGAGTCAGTTGTTGAAACCAGTGAGCCTATATTCAGTGACTCAGTGAATCCATCCGTACTTGTTTATTCACAGGAGTTCGGCCTCAGATGTCTGCTTCTATCAGAGCTCTCTCCGGCTAAACAAACAAATAAAACGAGCATCTGAGGTAGGTTTATAAAAGGCTGAAATTCTTCTTTCGGCTGCTCCCTTCGTCAGGGTTCACCACAGCCAACTAACTCATGAAGACTTGCTGATTGTTTTTTCACCAGATGTACTTCCTGACACAACCACTGACCACCGACCTACCACACCCTCTGTGTGGAGCAGAGAGCTGCCATGTAGGGCACCCAGGGGAGCAGATGGTGGGGGTTAAGGGCTTTGCTCAAGGGCCCAGAGTGGGGCGAATGAGAGTGGAGGCAGGTGTGGGTGCTTCACATTTTCCACACACATTTTTGATGTTGTCGGTCTGGGGGTTGAACCAGCGATCTTCCGATCACAGACTCACCTTCGCTAACCTCTGCTCCACCACTCCCCACTTATGAAAGGCTGAAATGTCAACACAAATGATCAAATAAATACGGAGAAGTTCATATCTCCCTCAGAAAATTTTGCATAAAGTAGATGCCATGTCCTGCATTCTGGTGTATTTTAACGGTTGTTTAACATCTAGTAACACTTGAGTCAATAACTATTTTAGAGTTAATGGCAAAACAAGAAGTATCCTGACCAACAGCTCTCCTTGTGTGAATAGAGCACGCTCCGCTTCTCTCACTCATCCTAACTCATCCACCCCGGTCGACAACTGCCAGCACTAACATAGCGGGACACGTCCTCATCACATATAATTGATGTGATGTCTATGCTTATCAGCATCACAGGCATGAAAACAGTTATGAAGTCATAAACATTTGCAGCTGTCAGTCATTTTGTAGAGCGACATAACGTACATTTACAAGAATCTAATAAAGAATTATTTCACAATGACTTTATCTTTTTTGTCTTGCAGCAGCTGAATGCATGTAGCTCCAAAACTTCACTTTGTTTTGAAGATCATGAATCTGATTGACATAAAAAGCATCATACTGTGAACATTTGAATAAGTTTTAACCTTTAACTTTATGACTATTCATGTTCCTCAGGGGGAGAATCAACCACCTTATTTAACTGCTTAAAATACTATTTTTTAAATATTTACCACACAAAAAAACAACTACTCAGGCTTTTAGACTCAGCCTGAAGTAAAAGTATCTCATTAAAATTTTTATTTTATTGTAACGCTTTAAGGTTTATTTTGTTTTAAAAACTACATTACAGTTTTCTTTTTAGTTGACAAAATATTAATTTTACGGTAAAAAAGTATATTTTCCTCCATTTACGTCCTCTGGGTCAACATCCACATCCTCCTCTGTTCTCCAGAGCTCAGAGCCGATGCTTGGTTCTGTTGGCCCGGTCAGAGGGGTTCTGGACCCCCTCCTCTGCACAGGCAAACCTCCTCATGGGGCTCTGTGCTCTATTCTTCTTCTAAAACACATCATGATCACCCTCTTCATCATCCTCTACCATTATACAAGGAGCGCGCCCTGCCTACTGAACCGTCAATACAGACACGCTAGCTCAACAGCTACAGAGGTAGCACTCTGTCTCCCTCACGCTGACGTCCTGGGTTCAATCCCCAGGATCGACCTGGGGTCTTACTGTTCAGTTCAGTTCATTTATATAACGCCAAGTCACAACAGAACTTATCTCAGGTCACTGAACAGAAACATTCATATATACTGTATATTTATATTGACATCAAGGTCAGTGTTCATTTGTTAACTAAACATTAGTATAAAATCACAATCAAAGGGCGACTTCATCAAAAATCAGGATAGTCATGCTGGCAACTAATTCAAGCTGAAAGTGTAACATCAATAAACATGCATGACAAATCAGTGTGTTACAGTTGGACACTATCGCCTTGTGTCACGACAGTGATACTAAATGAAGACACTGGGTGTAACCCCCCCCCCCCCAAAAAAAAACCATCCCACCCCCATTAATTTTCACATCATGTTCGAATTGCGGTATTCACAGATGTTGAACCCACTGTTGTTTCAATGTGGGGTAACTAGCTGACGCTATGATATTTGTACTTGCACAACGTGCATGAGCACAGACACTTCCAGTCTTGAGCATTAGAACAGTTACATCCAAAACGGTGAATTCGTAAACAAAAATTGCATCTCCACTGATCGAGGAAACTGTTTTTGTTGAAACGTTTCACCAAAATAAACGATTCAGGGGACCTGACGTAACGTTGTCAATTTTTCTACCTGGAATATTGAGCATGCATCAGGATATTACTTTTTATACAGTGAGGAAAACAAGTATTTGAACGCCCTGCAACTTTGCAAATTCTCCCACTTAGAAATCATGGAGGGGTCTGACATTTTCATCTTAGGTGCATGTCCACTGTGAGAGACATCATCTAAAAAAAAATAAAAATTTGTAAATCACAATGTATGATTTTTTTATAATTTATTTGTGTGTTACTGCTTCAAACAAGTATTTGAACACCTGTGAAAATCAATGTTAATATTTGTACAGTATCTTTGTTTGCAGTTACAGAGGTCCAATGTTTCCTGTAGTTTGTCACCAGATTTACTGCAGCAGAGATTTTGGTCCATTCCTCCACAGATCTTCTCTAGATCAGCAGGTTTCTGGGCTGTCACTGAGAAACAGAGTTTGAGCTCCCTCCAAAGATTTTCTATAGGGTTTATGTCTGGAGACTGGCTAGACCACTCCAGAACCTTGATATGCTTCTTACGGAGCCACTCCTTGGTTCTCCTGGCTGTGTGCTTCAGGTCATTGTCCTGTTGGAAGACCCAGCCATAACCCATCTTCAATGCTCTGAGGGAAGGAGGTTGTTCCCCAAAATCTCTCAATACATGGCCCCGGTCATCCTCTCCTTGATACAGTGCAGTCGTCCTGTCCCATGTGCAGAAAAACACCCTCAAAGCATGATGCTTCCACCCCCATGCTTCACAGTAGGGACGGTGTTTTTGGGATGGTACTCATCATTCTTCATCCTCCAAACACGGCGAGTGGAATTAAGACCAAAAAGTTCTATTTTGGTCTCATCTGACCTCATAACTTTCTCCCATGACTCCTCTGGATCATCCAAATGGTCATGGACAAACTTAAGACGGGCCTGGACGTGTGCTGGTTTAAGCAGGGGAACCTTCCGTGCCATGCATGATTTTAAACTATGACGTCTTAGTGTATTACCCACAGTAACCTTGGAAACAGTGGTGCCAGCTCTCTTCAGGTCATGGACCAGCTCCTCCCGTGTAGTTCTGGGCTGATTCCTCACCTTTCTTAGGATCATTAATTCGCCACGAGGTGAGATCTTGCATGGAGCCCCAGTCTGAGGGAGATTGACAGTCATGTTTAGCTTCTTCCATTTTCTAATAGTTGCTCCAACAGTTGATCTTTTTTCACCAAGCTGCTTGGCAATTGCCCCGTAGCCCTTTCCAGCCTTGTGGAGGTCTACAATTTAGTCTCTGGTGTCTTTGGACAGCTCTTTGGTCTTAGCCATGTTAGTAGTTGGAGTCTTACTGATTGTGTGGGGTGGACCGGTGTCTTTATGCAGCTACCGACCTCAAACAGGTGCTTCTAATTTAGAATAATAAGTGGAGTGGAGGTGGACGTTATAGAGGAGGACTAACAGGTCTATGAGGGCCAGAACTGTTGCTGACTGGCAGGTGTTCAAATACTTATTTGCAACAGTAAAACACAAATAAATTATTAAAAAATTCATACATTGTGATTTCCAATTTTCTTTTTAGATTATGCCTCTCACAGTGGACATGCACCTAAGATGAAAATTTCAGACCCCTCCATGATTTCTAAGGGGGAAAACTTGCAAAGTCGCACGGTGTTCAATTTTTTTTTTCATTATTTCATTTAACCTTTATTTATACAGGTAGTCTCATTGAGCCACGAGAACTCATTTTCAAGAGAGACCTGTTTAGGGAGCAGATGGTGGGGGTTAAGGGCCTTGCTCAGGAGCCCAGAGTGGGGCGAATGAACTTATTTTCCTCACGTATATTAGGCTGTTGTCTTGAGAGAAAAAGCTCTATCCCAAAATAAAATACATTCTAAGTGTGTCATCTCAATTTCTGGAATAGAATAATGACAAAAATTACTTTTATGTTGGGTTTGTGCAAAAGGATACAGTAGATTTAACATGACCAAATTTTATAATAGACATTTCATTTATAGCATATCCAGTGTTATACCGGTAATTGTTTTAATGTTATTTACTAAAGCCCTAATCTAATTACCAGATGTCTACTTTTGTGTCTTTAGCCAAGATATTTAGGTCTGGTCAGATGAATACTGAATACAGATGCAAAGCTAGACAATAAATAATAAACATTCATCTACCCATCCATCCATTAATTGTTTTTTTCTTTATCCACCCTTTTCTTGCTGTTTGTGGAAAGTTAATTTCTATCACAATAGTCAATAGGTGTGATGAGAGGAACACTGATAAGTCGGTGCTTAAACAGACCATTTGAAAATAAAATATCCCAAAGTGATTACAGTAAAATAACCTATACAAGACAGATAATTTACCAGATTGCTGGTTTTCAGGTCAGGTCCATGTAGAACTGTACCAGTTTTAGGGAACTGTTTCCTCTGCTGTTAACTGGGTTGTGACCAAGGAAGACATGCAGACACTTTTACTAAGTTACTGTTAAACTGCACCAGCCTGTTTGGACTTTTCTTTCCAATGATGAATATTAACATATGGTTTCCCTATAACATAGAACAGAGAAACCTTTATTAACCATTCAAGGTGTAGTTACCATGCATGGCAAGGATAACCCAGAGATTTTTAATAAAAAATAATTGCCCTCAATTATTGGTCAGTTTTGTTAACCAAAGACATTCAAAAACACGCTCAGTAATAAGAACAGTCAGTGTTGTTCCCAAGAATCAATCATCCATCCATCCATCCATGCATCCATCCATCCATTTTCTATCACTTTTCAGTGTTCAAGTCACAGAGTGAAAAGATTCAGGAAGGAAACCCAGACATTCCTCTCCTCATCAAGTCTTTAGTTCCTCTGGGGAGATCCCAAAGCGTACCCAGGCCAGAGAAGACATATAATCCCTCCAGCCAGTTCTGGGTCTGCCCATGAGTTTTTGCCAAGTTGTAGCAACCTGGAAAGCCCCCGAAAGGAGGAGCCCAGGAGGATTCCTAATCGTTGAAGGCACAGCCCTGACAGAGTCCCACCTGCATTTGAAATGAGCCTGACTTAGTGCCAAGAATGCAGACACAGGTCTTGCTTTACTTAGCCAGGAATCATGTAGCTCTTAAAAGCAACCTTGGCACCCATATTATTGCAGTACATGGACATACTAAGAAGATTAGGGGATTCTTAAAGTTTTCCTTTTACCACTCGGCAATATCTTCAGAGTCAGCAGTTTCCCCACCCAAGTCAAGCACAGTCTGGGATGGAGCCTAGTTTCTTTTTCTGAGTTGTTGAATGCTTTACAAAAACTTCTATGAGTGTAGCAAAAAGTCGTTCTCCATGACGTCTTTGAATTCCTCCGATGCCCAAGTTTCACAATCCGTCCTGTACCTGTCAGCTGCCTCAGACCTTTTCCTGAACAGCTAAGGCCCGAAGGCCTCCTTTTTCAACTGGACAGCCTCCATGACTGCAGGTGTCCCACTAGTTAATGCCTTGATAACTCCTGAAAGTTGCATCTTTAATAAAGGCCCGAAACATGGCCCATTCGAATAAAATGTGTGAACAACTCTTCAAAGTGCGAGATGAAGTTCTCATGGATGAGGCCTCTACAAAACATGCCCAGATGACACTCACCGTTTGTTTGGGACTTTCTACGTCTGTCTGGCAACTTTTTTTTTGTCACTAGATTCAACTATTGACAGTCCCGCTCTGCCTTTTCTTAACCCAAGTGCTTAAAATAGGGCCACAAGTCTGATATGATTACAAAATCAATCACTGATCTTTGACCCTAGATGGACTAGTACTAAGTACATCTATGGACCATTTTATGCTCAAACACGATATTTGTTAGACAGCCAATGCCTAGCACAGAAGTCTAATAACAGAACTCTGCTCAGGTTCAGATCAGCAATGCCGTTCCTCCCAATCACTTCAAGTGACTTTAAAATACCCTCAAAAAACAATTTTCCATGACACAATTCAGATACTACAAGAAAGTCTGATTTTTGGAACTGATGCTTTATGCATTAACACAAACAACAATCAAAACCTGGAAATTCACCTCCAATCTACGAATTGGGTTCCAGAGCCCAAGTTGTGTGTGGAAGTGAGCTCAACTGTATCTAGTTGTATTCCTCACCCACAAACTTTGGCTTATTTCCTGACAGTGAGGTGATTTTCCATATACCTAGATTCAGAGCCCTGCCCTTGCCTGCCACCTAGCTTGCACTCCACCCAATGTTGATGGCTCCCCCAGTACCGGTAGGTGTTGGTTCTTTGAGGTTGTGGCTCCATACAGGTTTATTTTTTGTGCTTGACCTAGCCAAGCTCTAGGAGACAAGGCTCTACCGCCAGGTACTTGCCAGGTATCTTGTTTAGTGTGGTCTAGCTTCATCATCAAAGTCTCTGAACCACTCAGTCTGACCACAAAAAAATTAAGTCAGATCATCTGGACAGATTCTTCTTGGTTGAAACGTTTCGTCTTTCATCTGAAAGACTTCACTCTTAGTCTGACCCCTCCCCTAAAACAAGTGCATGGGAGAACCTACCAAGTGCTAATGCTCCAGAAAACAAAATCACATAATCACAATGGTCCTCAAACTCATCCGTAACGTTATGGTAAAACTTTTGTGGAGCCCAAACAATTTAAGTTGATAAAAGAAGTATACATGTTATAATGGCTTCAAAAAAGTCAAACAGAAATTAATTTAAATTTGACATGCTAAACGAAACGCTGGTTAGCAAACAGAGACATGAAACCAATGTGAAACATGAGCCCAGAGGTTGTACTGACACAGATACATGTACATGTGTTAAAATTAACAGTTTTACACGTAAAGTGCACATTACCATATGGAGGAAGAAAGTGAGAATGACTGCAGACTTCCTGTCTTCCCTCCTTCTTAATCCAGGGTATAATTGTTGATGCAGTGTGCATTTCACAAGTGCCAGCAGGCATCAGAAATCTCTCATTACTGAAAATAGGCCGAGCCATGTGTGTCAGAGTAAATGTGTGTGACAGGTGTGTAAAGCTTGCAGCAAAACTGGATGAAGCGTTGTGTGTGCTAACCGCAAGGGAGGAGCTGCTCGGGCTCGTTGGAGATAAATGAACTCAAACCGCTTGTTAGAGGAGCTGAACATTCGACATAAAACAGTGAGCTTGCTTGCACAAATGAAAGCTAATGCAGTTTTTAGACTATTCACTCTTTAGAAAAACAAACATTTAGAAGAATTACAAGACTGAACTGTAGTTTACAGCTTATATCCAGACCCAAGGAACATAAAAACATTAAAATCATTCAACATATAATTGAAGCTATACTACTGTTGGTTAAAATAAGATTTGATCTGTTCAGAAACCTTTTTTTTTTTTACTAAATATATTGAACATTGTAACAAGTGTGAAAAATAGAGGCACAGAGGGGGTGCAGATGCAGAGAAGAGAAGCTGAGTGGAGCAGAGCGCTATTTTTTTGGGGGAGTGGTGGCGCAGAGGTTAGAGAGGTGGGCTTGTGATCCGAAGATCGCCGGTTCACGCCCCGGCCCCGACAACATCAAAATTGTGGGTGGGGTAGGTGAAACACCCACACTTGCCCCCACCCTCATTCGCCCCACTCTGGGCCCATGAGCAAGGCCCTTAACCCCCACCATGTGCTCCCTAAACAGGTCTCTCTTGCAAATGAGTTCTCGTGGCTCAATGAGACTAACCTGGATAAATAAAGGCTAAATGAAAAAAATAAAAATTTTGATCTTTTTGGCTAACGCTAGTATTGCACACCGCTAGCTTAGCACTACATCAGTGCCGGCAGTTGTCAATGGTGGGGCTGGGGGGGTTCGGTAGTTCGGTTTGGTAGGCAGGGCGGTGCACCCTGCTTGTATAATGATAGGGGAAACACTGCAGTTCATACCAGCTAATATATGAGCTGAGCAGCCAAACCCATTTTGAGAGACCAGTAGAGTCCTGATAGTTACTGAATGTCCACCAACTCACCTGGATACCCTGCATCCATCCATTATCTTTACTCACTTTTAACTTTTCAGGTTGCAGGGGTCACTGGTACCCACATCCAGCAGTCACTGTGTAAGCAGGTACACCCAGGACATGGCCATCCCAGGGCCACATAGAAAGACATGAAAACCACCATTCACACTCTCACACCAAAGGATATTTAGAGTTACCAATCAGCCTAACATGGGCACCAGTGAACCCGTCACCCGAAAATGAAGAAGCGGGTAAAAGATAATGGATGGATGTTTTTGGTCTGTGGGAAGAGACCAGAGTGTCCAGAGAAAACTTACACATGCACAAAGAGAACATGCAACCTCCACCCAGAAATATCCGGCAACCTTCTCGTTGACAAGCGGCAGTTCAACCAACTGTGCCCATGGATAACCTGATTTTAAATATCTCTCTGCTTTTTAAAAGAAGTACTATTCACCTTTCAAGTTAACATTAAACCCCTTAACTCCATGGTTTTTAAAGAATTTATGACATTAAATAAATTGAAATCTTTTTAGTACATAAATTTACAATTTTAAAGCAAAATAAAATGTGTTTGAAATGTATGTAAAGCCTCTGCAGTTCTGTATTTGTTGTATAACTATATAGATTTATTATCCAGTTGTGTCTGATATATTCTGGATCTTTGATTGAGAAACATTTTAGGTGGACCTAGCTGAACTTTAATTAAATACCACTGCACTAGAAGACTATTGGTGTAATCATGACACTACCACTATATATATGACGTCTGTTAGACTGTTTCCATGTTGTAGTTGTAGCCGAGACATGATACCAACATGGTCCGGCTTGTTTCAAGTTTTAAAAAAATTCCACCAAGATGTGCAGGTGCACAGATGTGCTGCCACCACTGCAAAAAAAAACCCATCCCTGTATTGTCAGATGGGGTAGAGGCTGGGCAGCTGACTTGAGACCCGAAAGTCCCAGGTTCGATCCCCAGCCATTCCCACATGTCGTGGTGTCTCTGAGCAGGACACCTAATTCCTAATTGCTCCCTGGGTGCTTACATAGCTGCCCACTGCTCCACTTCAGGTGTGATGGGTTAAATGCAGAGAACTAATTTCGCCATTGTATGGGAACATAGCACTGACAACACATACTTTACTTTACCTAGAAAATCGATGTAACTAAAAATAACAAGCGATACATTGATGTCCTCTGTCGCCAAGACATTTGAATAGTTAATGATTGTAGTTTTGGAGAGGAGTGTTCTCCTGGACTGGAAGTGAACAGTGAATGCAAGTAAACTTATGTTTTTGGTGCAAGACATTCGGTTAGGTAGAAGTTACAGTGTGGAAGAACAAAGGTTTTTATTAAAAAAAATTATTTATTTATTTATTTCTGGTCAGAGGCAGTGCAGTGATGAGTCCTGGTGGGTGGAGGGAGCAATTTTATCCACCATTAGGTGCAATGGTGGAGCCAGGGGGTGGCCAGTGGTGACCTTGGCAACCATAGATTAATCTTTGGCCACGCCTCCCTGCCACAAAATAAATAAATTAGATAGCATAGTTTCCTAATTGATCTGGGTGGCCAGTGGCCATCTTCGATTTTGATGTGACAACCCACTTCTCAGTGCTGACATGTTTTACACTTAGCTGCAGTCACACATCAAAACAGAAGTCAAAACATTAGAGAAAACTATACTTTTAAGTAATAAAAGAATAGAAAGCATAATTTCAGCAAAGGATCAGGGTAGCTGGTTTACATATAGTGACCATCTTAGATTTTGACCTGTCAACCAAATTTTTGATCGTGACCTTTCTTACATCTAGATGCAGCAACACACTAAAATGGAACTCCACATGTTCCTTATTATTCAAGTTATCCATCATTCGAGGTTTACACATATACATATACGGCGGCAGACTTGCACCAAAATGTAAGTCAGCATGTTACTTATTTTTCAAGTTATCAAGCTCACAAGACGGCAGAGTGATGGACAGAATGTATTTCTAATTCCCCACTTCTCCCCAGGATGGGGAACAAACAGGTGTGTACAAAATAATATGAGCTTTTTACTTGACTATGTGAGGTTTGTTTCATATTTACAACATTCAGGCACAATGCAAACAGCTGGTTTTATTCACATGCAATCATAAGCATGAACATTACAATATAAACTTTAATGTGGGTCAAAGTGCAAAATATTGTTTTCATGTGATTTCATTTATTATATATATACAGTAGCTATTCATATTAATCTTTTTGGGATGGTTTTGATTGTGTTGCTGCATAAAAACACAATCTTGTTTCAAAGACATGTAAGCCTGGAATTAAGAACGATGGAAACTGATGAACTTCGGAGGGAAAAATAAAGCATACAAGTGGAAAAGATGCTACACGAGTGGAAGGACAAGAAGAGAAGAATGAGTTGTGGTGGAAAGTAGTCAGACTGTCAGGAAAGAGATCTGGAAGAGACATTTAAAACACTAAAACTCTACAAAGACCATCCATGTTCTGGCTGAATTTTTCATGATGTAGGTGGGTCTTATCCAGTGTGAAGATGGCATTATCACCAGTTTTTTATCCCCCGCCATGGAGCGAAGAGGGGGAATTGGAAATACTCTGTCCGTGTTGTAAGCGTGATAACTTGAAAAGTAAATGAGGTATTGACTTTCATTTTGGTGTGGGACTACGTCTAGGTGTAAAAAAGGCTCTTTTTGAAAATTCAGTTGCTACGTCAAAATCCAAGTTGGCCGCCGCTATATATGTACGGTATATAGAGTTTTCCCCTGGACTACATCCTTTGGCAGTGCGCTCATCTCTTACATGATTTTTGTCGACCTGGGGGGCTGGGAGGAGGAAGAGACGGCTCAGATCGAGGTTCTGTTGACCAGGCGGAGGCGCCCTACTTATATAATGGTAGGGGAAACACTGATATATGTAAATTTTATGGGTTGGATAACTTCAAAAATAAGCAACGTGCTGACTTTCATTTTGGTGTGTGGCAGCATTTATGAGTAAGAAAAGTCACTATCAGAAATTTGGTTACCACGTCAAAATCCAAGGTAGCCACTACCACATTTACTGTATATCAACCACAATTATCATTTGAGGAAATGATGCTCTCTTATGTTTATTTGCATTCCCTGTTTAATTCCAGTCCAGATCATCTTGAAAAGTACAAACATTCTCTATTCAAATCCCTTAGCAATGAGGAACATTGGCATACTGCTTGTTTTTTCTGTTTTAATCCACAGTTTTTAATCAAAAACGCATGTGTACATGTTACATCGTCTTATCTGGGCCAGCTGCTTTTATCAGGGTCCAAGGTCAGTGTATGAAGGCCATCGAATAAGTAAAATGTGCACATGTTCAAATAGTCAAGGTTTAGGCAAATTCCTTTTCTCAGTGCAAGTTCTAACACTACCCTTTGACCTTTTATTCAACTCACAAAGGGTATTAGTAAGAATGTTTCCTTGCAAAATTGAATATCATTTTTCTTTCACATTATAAGACAGAAAGTCAGTATGCTGTGTAAAACTCATGAGTCATGCTTGCAACTTTTGGCAAACATTGTTTTTATGCTTCTTTAGAAAGGCACTTTCATTGTGATGTTACGATGTGGCTCGGTGGTGGGTTTTACAATCACAAAGTGGTTCTCAGCTTATTTATAACAGGATTTTTGATATATACTTTATATATATATATATATATTTATTTATTTCCTGATTTTACCATTAAAGGACTTCTCAACCCATAAAACAAATAAAAATCTGGTCAGAGTGTGTAATTTTTTATTAAGGTAACTATTGTTTGCCAACCAGAGCCAGCTTTTTTAACTCACTTTCAACTTAATATTTGCGACAAGTTTTATGGCGAAACACAACGATGAAAAATGATGGCTCAGCGATGCTGACTTCTCCTGGAATAAAAGTTAGAAAATCTGACATGGACTCCACAGTTGCACTGTGCTGCCATGTTGGGGAGTTTTTAATGATGGTGTATTGCAGAAGCTCCCAGACTGGGCTCAAGAAAACCCCCAGGTTCACAGGGAACTGGAGAAACAAAAGAAAAAAGAAAATGTATCTCATTTGAATGTGGTACCATTTGCTAGAGGACATTACTAAGATTTTTATTTGTTTTAATACTTCATTTAATTAAAAAAAAACAATGCAGTTCTGTGAATGAATTAGCACTCTATACCTGTACTTTACAGTATATAGAATAGAGCAGATATAGAGTTCATTTCCTTCTTTTGGCCCTCTGAAACTTCTATCCATCCACCCATCTTCTTTACCTGGTTCTTCCTTTTTTGGTTCATGAGGGTCACAGGTGTCCATATCCAGCACTCACTGTGTGAGAAGTGGGGGACACCCTGGACAGGTCTCCAGTCCATCACAGGGCCACATAGAGACAAACGAGACAAACAACCATTCACTCTCTCACTCACACCTAGAGACAATTTAGAGTTACCAATCAGCCTAACATGCATGTTTTTGGTCTGTGGGAGGAGTGAAAGCATAATACTGCTACAGTCCTACTACTCACCAAAATGTTTTTAGTTTTGACAATGTAATAATTTCTTGAACCTGTTCTTTTTTTTTTTTTGACATTTTGAAGACTACTTGAGGGCGATTCACAATTTTCAACATTTTCACAAGATTACAAAACATTATTTCTGGAGAACCCGCCCCCCAATAAATAAATAAATAAAAAGTGTATAGAACAATGTTGACTTTCACAAGACCTATTTTAGTCTAAGAAAAGCTGAGACATGAAACCAATGTACATTTATGTGCAGTGTATTGAGTGCTAGCAACAAAACCAAGTCACAAAACAGAGTTGCACCTGTGTGACATCACCCTGCATTATTAGACACACTTCCACCCTCCAACAGAAAGTGCTTTTCCCCCCTTATACATACGGGGAACTACCTCTGACTCATGTCAGTTTAATAATAATAATAATAATAATAATGTCATCACAATGTCAGCGCTGTATATTTCCATACAATGACGAAATTAGTCTCTGCATTTAACCCATCCACCATCAGGTGGTGCAGTGGGCAGCTATTGAAAGCACCTGGGGGGCATTTTGGGAATGAGGTGTGCTGCCCAGAGACACCACGTGATATGCAGTGACTGGGGATCGAACCTGGGACTTTCGGGTCCCAAGCCGGCTGCCCTGGCTCTACACAGCGATTTCAACATAAATGTCAAACCAAACCTGAGCAGGACATTAACAAGAACAACCCATTTCCACACACAGAAATATCGTAAACATTGCACACATAATTGCCACAGGGTACCCAACATACTTTGCAGCTCACAGACAGACAAGGAGTTTGGGCACATGCTCAAGTTGGACATGTCTGTATGCTGATGACGACACTCTGAATACATTGCTTCTTGCTCTCGTTGAAGGCAGACATTTTTTCCTCAAGCTCCTTCCCCTCCTTCTGCTCTTTGTCTTGTGAACCTTTCAGAGCCTCTCTTTGCATATCTTCCAAATTTTAAATTATGGATATGGTCAGCTGGTCTCTCAACGCAATTAATCAAATTTTCTCGATGAGAAGAAGGAAGGATAGCCCTCCTGCCCCGACGGGACACTCGCAGACAGATACACAATGGATTCCTCGGGGCAGTGGAAGATTGTGCATCTGTCCATATTGTCGGTCGAGGACATTGAAGATGTGTTCATAATTGGATTTATGATAACAGAATTTCCGCTTTTTGGAGTTGGTGGTTACCTGGCATATTGACAAATTTGAAAAACGTTGACAGCTGCCCGGTGAAGCAATGAGCCGTGCTGTGAACACTCAGACTCAAATGCTGTGTGAGTTGAGCCGTAAGCTGGACGCGATTCCTGCTGAGAATCACAGGCTACTTGTGGCTCCTGAATCTTGCTGGCGGGAAGGAATTGACCTTGGAGAAGTTACAAGCTTGGCTTGGCGGTACTGACCACAAATTTGTCTGTTTAAAATCACCATTGAGATGTACCAGTGAGACTGTAAAGGTAGACAGAAATTAAATGGAGTTGACCTGACCCAAAACAACTGTTATCTGAATCTGACTCCCCTGTGTCAGCCTTGGAAGGCGGTCTATCTCAAATTCTCCTGGATGTTATG